AGTAGCATCAGATACATTCACATTGTCATGCATCCAGTCTCCACAGCTGCTTTTATCTTGCAAAGCTGAAGCTCTATACCTAGCTCAGGATCCATTTTTTTCCATTAGTTATATATCTAAGAAAATTCCAACTTAAGTAGTGGCAGTTATTAGCTTTTGAAAACAATTTCTCTTGCAGTTTCAAGATGGGCTTTGCTTATGTGGATATGGAAGCTTAACAGAAATTATAGACAGTTTATTTCCAGGCTGAAAAAAAAATTGCGACAGTGGCTCTTGTTATCATAAATAGAAAAGACCCCCAAAATTTGCAGCAAATGTTAAAACTACATTACCATCTCAGAATAGGTGGATATCGTGTTCTGCTTTGTTGTTGCTGAACTGAATGTAATGACATGCTGAAAGCACATTTCAATCAGATGGGCCTGAGCCCTGTCTAGTGTATAATTTCCCTTTTCACATATAGTACAGGAGTGTACTTGGTAGTAAGTTCTGTGAGAGTGAACGTAAAAGTTCAGCAGTCCTAAATTCAGAAAATGATGAGTGGTGAGCCTTTGTAGTTAATGACATGATTACTGCAAGTCATACTCTTATACAGTAATAACAAGAGATGCTTCATTTCCAGGCCCACACAAGCACAAATTGACCTACCACACAGGGTAGTGCTTTGGGGGCTTCTTATGTAAAAATTTGAATAGTACTCACCAGATTATGACTGTTGTACTTTATTACAGATTTTAAAACATATTGCAAGAAGTTAAGCATTTTTAGAAGTCTTTGAAGTATTGCTGCAGAACTTTGGGACTCCACCAAATGTGGTTTGATCACTGCTGCATTGAAGTACACAGAGGGAATGTCATTAGGAACTGCATTTTGGATTTGGAGGATTTTATTTTCAGATAACTTATGGATTGCATAGTGAAAATGCTTATGCTGATACAATCTATTTCCTGGTTTCTGTAGGACCTGACTTGTTCCAGATGAATATTATTTTCACAGCTTAAATATCTTCAAAAGAATACTTTGATCGAAAAAAGCTATTGGGACAGGACATGTGTTAGGAAACAAATAAGGTTAAAAAGAGAATGAACTGACTTTTTAATATAAATGTAGTATGTAAACAAACTGAAGTAGCTGTCATTTCTTTAAGAGACGAGAATTTCCTGAAAAAAAATTATGTAAAATCCTACTCAGTGATGATATGAACACATTAAGTATATTTAACTTATACATTCTTAAAATAAGCATGACTTGTAGTGCCATTTTATTTAAATGGTAGGAAAACCCCATCATTCAGCAACAAGAGTTTTCATTTTTCCAGAAAATTATTTCTGATTTCAAGATGGGAATATAGTAATGTATCAGGGCTTGTAACATGTTTACAGAAACCCAAATTCCAGGTGGCATGGCTGAGAAGACCCTTCAGCATTATCTGTTTTCCCAGGCAATGCCTTGCCTTCTTTCTTTTCTGTTTCACTGCTTCTCTGGAGTATTTCCTTCTCGGTAGTAAATGGTATTGTTCCATGAAATTTGAGGTTTTTTGTGTTAAATAGCTTCTCACAGTAATGTGTGATCTGTTAGGATGCAGGTCACCCTGTCTAGATGACACAGCTTAGGCTGCCGTGACGTCAGTAGTCAGGCATTCTCAGTCTGTTGGAATTGCAATGTCATCACCCACTGCAGTTATTCAGTTCTTGTTTTATCTCTCTTTTAAGCAGAATAATTAAAGCAATTCTTTTAGAACAATCCCATTGTTAGATGTTTCTGGCGTTTATACTCCTAGATATAATATTTTTGGGTCTATTTTTTAAGATTTAGAGTCTCAATTTTTCCACATTGCAACTTGGGATGCTGCATCCTCTTCAGCTTAAAACCTTTCAGGGAGGTTCCTACTATCTTAAGAATAAAATTTAGACTCCTGTGCATGCACAGCTGCTGCTCATAATAAAGCTGGTTGTATCCTGCATGTGGGCCCCAGCAAGTAGAGGAGTCCTGCCAGCTTGTTTGCAGCTCTGGCACTGGTTTTGGTGGGTGGAGACCTTTCCAATTCAATGAGAGGTGTCATCTGGACTCATGGAGCTCCAGGGAGCCTCTGTGCAGAGCTGTTCATTGAGCTTCACTTTCTTCCTAGGCTCCACCTTCTTGTCTCTCCTTCCTGCCAGTGCTGCAGATGTACATATGGCCCTGATTGATGAAGCTACTTCAGATTCTACAAGTGTGCTGTGCTCTCTGGTACCCTTGTAGTAATAATAATTAGAGTTAACATTCATTTATTTTTAATATTTTAAGTAGTCAAGGTCTCACTCTGTCACCCAGACTGGAGTTCAGTGGTGTGATCATGACTCACTGCAGCCTCCAACTCGGGCTCAGATGATCCTCCTGCCTTAGCCTCCTGTAGTTGGGACTATGTGTACCACCACACCCAGCTAATATTTTGTATTATTATTTTTTGTATAGCAGTGTTTTGCTATGTTATCCAGGCTGATCTGGAAGTCCTTGGCTCAAGTGATCCTTCTGTTTTGGCCTCCCAAAGTGCTAGGATTATAGGCATGAGCTACTGCACCTGGCCCTTAGAGAATTCTTTATTCTCCTCCTCCTCTACTAAACTAATTGGAGAGAGTTTTACTTCTTACACCAAAGTCTACAGTTAAATTCTTCTACTCCGTGAAAGACTTTGCATCTTCGTGCTTCTGCTGGTTGCCCATGCCATTCCCTCTGCTTGCTTTCACTGCCTCTTGCATCCAGATATTGGCCTATTAAGTGAAGTTGTACTTGATGCCACTTCTTCCAAGAACTCTTCTCCAGTTGCACAAACCAGATTTTTTTTTCATATTCTTCTAGCAATTTTGTAGTACTCTGACAACACTTGGCAAATCTTCTTATACTCTTTAGTATATGGAGCATATTTTTATAGGTGAAAGAGCCTAATTTTGCATTAGTAGTGTTTGTATTATCTTGAGCATACAATACATGCAGTAAGATTTAGATTGCTGGAGACCTGTGATTAGTGATGTGCTGCCACTATGAGACATTGAGAGGAATATTCCTGGCAGACAGGCTGATAGGTCAGAACCCCCAGGTGAGGAGGACACAAGGAAAAAATGGGAAGATGTATTAGATACCAATTGGAGACCTGGTGACGTCATAAAGCCATTGCTCTTACTATGCCCTAGCCAGAAGTACCTGATGAAGTTGGAAGAAAATCAGTTCTCTGATTACTGCAGTCAAGGCTCCACCCTAGCCATTGGGCTCAAATGTGCCGTTGAAGGTGTTGTTTTTATCCCAGAGACCTAGATATTTCCAACCTCCCTGTTTCATTTCTGACAAATTTTTAGGACCAGAGGCTAATCCACTAGAACAGTATTTCCCTATAGCTTGGTTTTTAATTTTGCTCTGAATTTAGTTTATATTCCTAAGTGGCTTTACAAGTTTTTTCTCCCCATGCCCTCAGAGGAAGTTATGTTCTTCTGAACCTCCCAGGTACCATTTTAGTAAATTAGGAATTCAGCTCACTGAATGGTACCCCTGTGGCCTGAAAGAGTTAATACAAGTTTCTTAAGTAGTTTATTAATTCCCAGGGAATAATTTTATGCACTAGAGTGTGGCTTAGTGTCTAGCTAGTTACAAACACACTAAATATTTTTTTTTTCCTTTTGTGAAGTGAGTCTCTGAAACTAAGTGGAGGTTCAATTTAAATATAAGTATCTTGCTTCATAAGTACTTAAATATATATATGATGCCTCAATGAGAGAAGGGGTATTATAAAAACGAGGTAGATTCAGGTCCTCGCTCAGCCCTATACTTCTGTGAAACCTGGGTATGTTAACTTCCCTCATTTTCTCTCATCTTTGAAGTGGGGATGATGTTTACATCAGAGACAGTGAAGCTCAGTGGTTATGCACTTAGGTTTATAATGCATAACCCAGGCTTATTGCCTGAGTTTGATTCTTGGCTTCACTGCTTGATAACTATGTGATCCTAGGCAACTTTATTAACCTTTCTGACTCGGCTTTTTCCACTGTAAACTGGAATAATACTAGTACCTGACTCACAGTTGTTATGAAGGTAATGTGCAATAAATGTGAGCCGTTTGTATACATCATGGACTACTGTGCAGCCATAAAGAACAAACTTATGTCATTTGCAGCAAGGTGGATGCAGCTGGAGGTCCTTAGTGAATTAACACAGGAACAGAAAAGCAAAAACGACATGTTCTCATAAGTGGGAACTAAACATTGAGTACATGTGGACATAAAGATGGGAGCAATAGAGACTTGAGATGAATAGAGTGGGAGGGAGGAAGACAGAGTAAGGTGAAAACCTACCAGCTGGGTACCATGTGCACTACCTGGGTGATGGGATTGTCTGCGCCCCAGACCTCAGCATCATTCAGTTTCCCCATGTAACCTGTGTATGTACCCCAAAATCTGAAATAAAAGTTGAAATTGTTTTTTAAAAAGTGAGCTGTTATTTTTTAAAAATACTCACTTGGAGGACTTTCTGAACTGATCAAATGAAATAAGATGATAAAAAGTGCCAAGTAGTATGCCTGGAACATGGCAGCAAACACTGAATAGAGGATGGCTTTTGCTGTTATTAACTACAGAAGGTTTATCTATAGCAAGTTCTAGTCTTAAGATGCACATATGAAAAGCTGCCTGTCACATGAAAGTTTGATGCTCTGTAGCTCGTCATGTTGTCAGGCTCTGTCCCTGGAGTGTGCCCCTCGAGTTTTTATGCATGTCACTGTGGCGTTTATATGTTTGGTCTGCACTTCTTTCTCCTTTTTATCCCCTTGGCAGCGGGATGTTGAAGTGCACTTCAGTTTTGTTGTTTTCGTTTCCCTTCTGGATTCTTACCCCTCTCCTACTTTTGCTGCCTCCTTCCTCAGTCCCCTTTTGCCTTCAGCTGCCCTGTCGTTGCAGTTGACACACACACACACACACACACACACACACTCTCTCTCTCTCTCTCTCTCTCTCTCTCTCTCTCTCTCTCTCCCACCACCCCAATTTAGATGTATACTTTGACTTTATGAGGGCTGTGGTTTTGTGGGAAGAGCAGGGTCTTGCCCTTATTAGACTATGCCTCATTATTAATTAAAGAGAAGGTCATTCTTGGAGTCAGTCACCTGAAAAAGAGGCTTGCTCCTCTGACTGGAAGGAGAATGGGGCTGGGGAGGGAAGGGTTTTGTTGGATGGAACTGTGCTTAACTGTTGGACCTGAGTGACTGAATGCGGTGTCCATGAAAGAGCTGGCTAGGTGTGTGTTCGGGGGGGACCAGCCTTGTGGGGGCAGAGGACTAAGACACAAAGGATACTGTCAAGGAACCTGTGAAGTCACACCTGCTTTTTTGGGCCAGAGTATGTGTATCTTAAGACCACAGCCTGGATTGGTAGATATAGAGGGTTTACTCCTTGGGCAGTGTTGGACTCTTGATGAAGTAACAGGTAGAGGATGAAGTTTGTAGACTTTGTACCTCTCACATTTGCGCCCACTTCTTAATGTAGTACAATAACAAAAGGTCATGCTATTGGTGATGGTTGGGTAAGGTACCTAATAACAGTAAGTTTGGCTTAGGAGAGATAAACCATTTTAAGTCAGTCAGTATACAGTTGGTCAAAGGAGAGAGAGGGTGACACTCAGTCTGTCATAAAACATAGGTTGAATGTGCCACAGAGGAACAAAGTTGTCATTAACAATGGGTGTGGAAAAACAAGAATTTAACAAAAAGTTTTTCTGTGCCTATGCAGGCATTATTTATTTGGGGACAGTATCCTAAGGCAGGCATACTTCCATAGTGGAAATGGATGCAGTGTGATGCTGTGAACTTCTGAAACCAGTAAATCCCTTTGTTGTGATTCCAGATTTACTCAGCACATATCTGATTATTATCTGTTCTCCAGTGTAGTTAATCTAGTGGAACAGATCACATTGACCAGAAGATCTCAGTCTTCAGTCTTCTTGGTGGTTATTTTCTTGTAAATTTATAATACTGATAATATATCACTTGCTTTATATAACTGATTGTCTTTAACTTTGCCCTGAGGCATTTTTCCTAAGCAACTCTAGACCATGTTAGTCTTTGAGCCACAAGATTAATGATCTTTCCTTGAACCACTAGTCACTGAGGTGTTTGAGAATGGTAATCTTTTCGTAGTGATGTCTCATCTTTTCCTTCTACAGTCACCAGTATCATATTTACTGTATTATGATGGTAGGCTTTGTACTGGCTTGTTTACTTCTCATGGTTTATCATGCACTATGATAGTTTGTGTGACACTTTAAAAAAATTAGGACTGTTAAAATAGTTTTTTCCCCTCGTTAAAAGTGGAATGACACTGCGTTGCTTCTGAGGAATTTGGCTTTAACTGGTTTTTATTTTGAGCTGGGTATTAAAGGAGAATTCTGAAAGGGTAAACATACTTAGTGACATCTGGTTGCCACAAGAATCAATATCTGATACTACATATATAAAGATACATGTTTTGTGTTAATATACCTTAGTTTCATTGGTTAAAACTAGAAGAATAAAAACAAATTTGAAAGCAGCTTGGTTACTGACTAAGCTGCAGCAGTTCTGAGAGCCTACTGTTGTCGTTTTTAATGGGCAGGCTTGCACTTCCATAGATTGGTTAATCTTAAAGATCAGATGGTAGTTGTATTATAATTTCATAAAGATTTTATGTCCTGTGCTTCGCTATCAACTAAAGGTATGACAATTTAGGAAAGTTACATTTAGACATATAAACAATAAATATTGATGAATCATTTTACCTAACAATTTATTGATATTACTCAACATAAGGGAAAAAATTAGAAGGAAAATGGACCTTAACACCATTGTATACAGTGAAGAGAGTATAGCAGAGGAAGGAAAAACAAAACACACAATAACAAGATGGTCATAAATTCAAGTGTCAGTAATTACAATAAACGTAAATAGACTAGAGGATTCTGCTAAAAAATAGCGGTCAGATTGGATTAAAAACATCCGAGATGCTAGGTTTACAAGAAGCATATCTAAAAACACCAGGATACAGAAAACAAAATAATGGAAAATTATATTTCAGGCTCACTTTAAGCAAAAGAAAGCTGGTATAACATGTTGATGTCAGACAAAAGAGAAATCAAGGCAAAGGGCATTAGAGATGAAGAGGATCACTGTACAGTGGTAAAAGGTTCAGTTCGTATTACATAAAGGTACATATTATATAAAGCAAAAATATATAAAGCAAATATATACAGAAACAAGGAAAATAGCTAAATGCACAATCCTAGTGGGAAGTTAACATACCTTTCTGAATCATACAACTTGCAGGCAGAAAACTTAGAAGACTTAAAGAACATGATTAATTAACAAATTTGATATTATGAACATTCATAGTATATTACATGCAGTTCCTGTATAACCCATTCTTTTCAAGCACAAGGAACATCTGACATTGGTTACATATAGGACTATAAAGCAAATGTCAATAAATATCAAATTATTGCAATCATATAGAGTATTTTTCTTACAGAATTGTAGAAGGAATCAACCAAAAGATAACAGGAAAATCCTCATATGTCTGGAAATTAAGAAATATATATAATACATTTATGTAATTCTATGCATAATTACATATACAATATTTATAAAATTTCATTTAAAAATTTTACAAAATAAAGGGAAAATAATCTGTCACTTAAACACAAAATCACTGTACTTCTGATCCTAGTAACTGTAAAAATTGTCAGGATTTGGGAGGTTTTTTTTTTTTTTTTGATGTCCAAATATTTGATACACATTCCAGAGATCCCCAGTATTTTTTAGAATTCTTCTTAAGAGGTTAGTGACCATGTATGTGGGGTTAGGAAAGTAATAGAGCTAAATGGGCAAAGAGATCATTCCTGCTGGTAGGGGAGAGGGTGTGCCACAATGACAGGTTTGTGGATTTACTGAAAATATGAGATTTACATCCAGAGTTCAATTCACAGGCTGCGGCCCCTGTTTTCATTTAGTTAGAGGCTGATGGAACAGCTGTGCCTGCAGTTGTGTGTTCTTTGACCCAATACCTAAGGAAATTTGAGGCTCGGACAAGTTGAAGTAGATATTTCTGTTTCCATGTTTCGTAACAGAGCCACTCATGGGCTTTCACAGATACATTGTTTGGGGTTTATACGTGCCCTCCCATTTCCATTCCTGAAGGAAAAAGAGATTTCTTTTTTCAGATTATTACTGATTGTAGTGATCTAGGGAAACCCTTTTTTTTCTCTCTTTAAAGTTCTGAGGAGCATGAAAAAATTGAGGTATTCACAGTGTCTGGTAAGGGAATGAGTTCTGGCCTGTATTTTTTAAAGAGTAGGAATCTAAATCAGAACAGACACCAGGTTGAAGAAATAATTTGTCACATCATACATGCAGGAACAAGCTATACATGGGAATACTTTGTTTTAGTTAGGGTGTGTCTTGAGGAAAAACAGGACATAAAAGGGTATGTGAAGTGTTTTGTCGATATGTGTGTTTTTCTGGTGATCATATCCCACTGTGTCATTAGTTCTTTTAAAGAACTTTTTCTATATTATCCCCATTTAGATCTTTCTCCCTGTAGCAATTGTCTCTATTTTTATTTTGTTTCCTGTTACCATTGTTTCCTTTTTTGAGTAGAGGATAGATACGTAAGTGACGTAAGTAATGGCATGGAAAAATTCGAGAACAATTAAGTAGATTATATCCCTTTTTACCATCCTTTTCTTAAAGTGCTTGACTTAATTCTGGATAGCCATGTACAAACTTTGATGAGTATCTTTCATCTTGGGGGTTATTTTGAAAATTGATGGCGTTTGGAATAAAAGTTGCTATAACCTTAGTCCACATTTGGGTTTATAAAATATACTCGACATAGGAACTCACCTGACTCCCAATTTTTGAAGTAACACATAATTTCTAAAAAAGATTGAAATACAAATGAACTGAGTTACATTTATACCACTCCTTGGAATTATTAGAATAGCATATGTTCTCTGTTTATGCTCTTTGTAAAATTGGAAAAGTAATGTGTAGCTCTTATTAGTGGTGCCGTGTGTAGTTTCTGTAACAGTTTAGCTGGGAATTGGCTGGAGTCCATTTCCGAATGGTTAGTGGAGCTGCCCACCAAAGCCAAACCTATTCCAAAGGATGATATTTCTTCTGTCATGAACAGAAACGATTGATGACTACATACACTAACATGCACAGATGATAACTGTTCATAGTTAAAGGGACCATGCTTCTTTTGCTGGTGAAGGACCATTAACTAGATTTCATCCAGAAGATCACTAGAAAAAGCAGCCTCCCATGTTTGAGTATGTCTTGCATTTCAGTTTCCATGCAGATGGTTTCTGTACATCCTCATGTCCTCATCTCATGAGATTGGAGATGAAAGTTAGTGAGGTAACTAACTTGCTCAAGGAGCAAATTTCATGTTGGAACTGGGCTCTATAGCCACATTTCAGACCATTTTTCATTTAACTAGCATTCAGATTATTAAGTCAAAGGGAAAACAAAACAGGGCTGTGAACCAATTAGAAACTAATGTGACTTTTTTTTTATGCCTTACATTTATGTCTGGCAAGTTGAATATAAGGAAAAAGTGGTTTTTGAAATACTTTTTCATTGGTACCAATGATCATTCTAGAGTTTTCTGTGAAAAAGTATAGCTAACAAAAGTTAAAATTAACGGTCTTAACATTTCAATTGTAAGAATATTTTGTGGTGTCATTTAGTGTTTTAATAGCTCCTGAAAGAAAACTGTAAAATGTAATCCATCTACATTTTTTCATGCATATCAAAGCTACCCATTTGTTAAATCACAGAAGTTAATTATGTTTCATTGGGAGTTAGTATTGACTTCATAGGTCTGGGGTAGATTATTTAAATAGCCCTGCTAGCTAAGATATTAACCCCTGCCCTTATTACAAATATATCCTGAAGAATAAGGGCAAAATACTATTGACTAGATTGTGCTTGAATATCTTAATAAAAATAGAATGAAACAGCTAAACAAGGAAACTATTGGACTTAAAGCATATGTACTTGTTCACATTAAAGAGGCCTCACTGCTGTGTACGAAAGATGCTTAAAATAATCCACCAGCCAACACTCACTACATGTGAAAGTGGTTTACTTTCTTGTGTCTGTTGGGAAGCTGTGATTATATGATTATAATTAAGCTACAGTTTATTTTCTCATTTTCTTTGATTAAATTGGGATAGGAAATATCTGGCCAAATCTAGTCCTTTCTCAGTCATGTTATTTGTTAATTCCATTAATACCCTTTATTACAATTTGCAGCAAGGTGTTTTTCTGTTAAAGTAACTGAAGATTTCAGAATATCTTCTATCTGAAAGTTGTGAATATTCTCTGAAATTACAGCTAAAGTTCTTAAGATATAAACTCATCATTCACATAGGTTATGGAGTTACTTTTAAAATGTAGCTATCCACTGAAGAAAACTGTGAAAATATCCCATTAGTCATTTGCTAGAGATGGGGTCTTGCTCTGTTGCCCAGGATGGAGTGCAGTGGTGCGATCATAGCCTCTAACTCCTGTGCCCAAGTGATCCTCCTGTTGCCTCAGCCTCCCAAGTGGCTTGGGATTACAGGCATGAGCCGCTGGGCCCAGCTGCCATTTGTAAATTTAAATCTTAACACTTCTGTTGTGTTTCCAGTTAGATTTCTCATCTGTTCTTTGTGTCAGCTCCTTAGATCTTCCCCATTCTCAATCCCCTGTTCTCTCTGTCTTCACAGTGCCTTTCACAGAAGAAATAGAAGCCATTATTGGGAACACCCTCAACTTTCCACCCACAAATCTATTCCTATAGACACCCATCCTTGCAATTTATATTTTAATAAAGGCTTCTGATCCTAATTTCAGGAAATAGCTTCTAAACTCATCTATTATTCCCAAATTCATTACCCATGAAATCTGCTATTTTATGTCTCCTATATTCTTACCTTCAGATGTTGAAAGGTCGGGGCATAGAACTAGTAGCACGTCTGCAGAGTCTTCCCTCTTGAGTGAACTTGATCCTGCTGTTCGTTCTCTTTGTGCTCTTCAAAGTTAAGAAATCATGTTCCAGCACTCACGGTATTTCTCCAGCCTGCCCCCCACTCTCACTCCATTGTCATGAGGACTGCACTGAACAAATTGACACCTCATAGAGCTTATAGGCCATAGTTCCTGACAGATAACACAGTTGAAAAAAGAAGTTTCACAGCCTTGCATCTTGTGAATTCCCATGTCAGCCTCATTAGCTTTTACAAGCTATTTTCTTAGCTTGTAAGAATCTTGCTAGTGATTCACAGTAAATATTCACAGGTATTTACCTGTAGTTTTTGAAAACTGAGGTAGTGTTTGCCTTTCTCCAGTCATCCTGTACCTTTTAGATTTAACCTTTATTGGGGGGTGCGTGGGTGAAATATAACAAAGTGCGTAAAGCAGATGTACAGTTCAACCAACTGTAAAACAAACATCTGGACATTCGCTACGCAGATCAAGAAGTAGGATGCTGCCAGTTCCCGGAAGCCCTAGTGTTTGTTACCGCTCTATAAAAATTGAGGCAGGTGTTCCATGAACTTATCCCCAAGTCTCTGTTATAATTCATACAAGTTAGGAGGCTGCAGTATATTTGGAGGATCTAGGATTCCCTCCCTTATTATTTTTGCTTACCATTGGATTTCAGTTTTCTCTTTCCAATGTTTATTTTCTGTGTGTATTCTGAAGTTAATTTTATTTGACCAAGAAAGTAGGTATAGAACTAAGTGTGTTGTCTATAATTGTTTGTTACAATATAACTAAGTGAAACTTTTTCAATTTTTGCAAACTCGATTTTATTCTGCCATTGCTTCCTGATAGGAATTTTAGAGATCCCTGTGTTCTTTTATACAAATAATTTATCTTTCTGTTTAACATTTCCTTTAAAAATCTAAACTCCTCAGAAAAATACCTACTTGACCACATTAATCTCTTTAAGCAGCTCTTCCTTTTCGTGTTGGAGTCATGTGTTTGTAAAGTCATATGATTTAATCTTTTAGAGACTCTGGATGCTTCTGTTGTTGATGTGTATGTGCATAGTGACAGTCTTAAGGAATTTGGCATTTTATGTTTCACTGTCTTTTTACTCTTGCTCTCCTTCTTTTATTTATTTATTTATTTATTTATTTTGAGACAGGCTTTCACTCTGTTGCCCAGGCTGGAGTGTGTGGGTGCAATTACAGCTCACTGCAGCCTCAGCCTCCCTGGGATCCCATGATCCTCCCAGCTCAGTCTCCCTAGTAGCTGGGTTTCAGGTGCCTGCCACGATGGCTGGCTTATTTTTTTTTGATAGAGATATGGGGTCTCGCTGTGTTGCTCAGGCCAGTCTTGAATGCCTGGACTTAATGCAATCCTCCTTCCTTGGCCTCCCAAAGTGCTGGGATGATAGGCATGAGCCACATGCCTGGCCTACTCTCCCTCTTCACCAGTCTTGAGCCTCCTGTTCTGCTTTTTCCCCTGCCTAGGTTCTTGCCTCCCTTCACTCTTTCTTTCTATGACTTGGACATGATACAGAAAAAAAACAAAAAATCCCACAAAATCAAATTTATAAACAAATAATGGCATAGGTGCTCAGATCATCTAGCTGTGACCTGTGGGACTGAAGAAAAAGGCAAACAGGTTTGGATGGATAAGGAGTTGGGGAACACATGATGTGACCACTGACCACATCTGCAGTGACAGTATCTTCTTAAAAACAAAACGATAAACCAGGAACTTTCTTTGCTATTGGATTTATGATTTGGGATTAAGTGTATTTTCCCCTTTGCAGGCTCTTAGTTATGTGTGGTAGATGAGTTTCTAAATTATAATATTTTCTTTAAAAAGTATTAACATAAATAGTGTAGCATAATAAAACTTTAAATCATTAATGATATTCATAGATTGACATATAAGCTGTTCCCATTCATTTCTTTTTTTTTTCTTTTTCTTTTTTATTTTTTGAGACAGAGTGTTGCTCTGTGTCCCAGGCTGGAGTGCAGTGACAGGATTCTTGACTCACTGCAACCTCTGCTTCCCAGGTTCCAGCGATTCTTCTGCCTCAGCTTCCTGAGTAGCTGAGACTACAGGCCCATGCCACCATGCCTGGCTAATTTTTGTATTTTTAATAGAGGCAGGGTTTCACCATATTGGCCAGCCTGGTCTTGAACTCCTGACCTCAAGTGATCTGCCTGCTTCAGCCTCCCAAAGTGCTGGGATTATAGGCATGGGCTGCCACACCCAGCCCTCATTCATTTCCTAGAAGTGGTGATCTTTGACAATTTGTTTTCATATGAAGTTATTTTAATGAGGGGCAAATATTTGGAGCAATTAGCTAATCATTACAATGTTCTTTCTTTTCTTATTTCTTCTCCCCACCCCCATGCCACTGCTCCTTGCAGAGCAGGGCTAACCCATAGATAGTGTGTCCAGAGTCAGCCATCATTACAGTGTTCACACAGCATAAGGTAGGACTCAGAAAATTTTTCTATAAAGGCAACCTCAAAATAGAATTAAGTGCTTTCTGGAATTACTATGCAGCTAGAATTTTATGTAGGATTGAAGGTTGTAGCAGCTTTGAGCATTGATATTGATTTTGAGAATGCATCCAATTGCCAGTCATCCCTGGAAGACTTGATTTGAGACCTTTATATGTACTTGTGCTATAGTAAATAAGAATGTGTCCTAGATGGAGCCAAAATGGGATTGGTTTTAAGCATTTAATAAACATGTTAAACATTTTAACTATTATTTCCTTTTTTCAGTTTCAAATAGTGTTAAATGATTGTTATGGATAGGAATAGGGTAAGCCCATTTCTAGGGCATGGTTTGAAACATTGGTGCAGTTTCTTTCCCAAGAACATCTTAATCAGATCCCTGGTTTTCAGTCTGTTTTCCTCAGAACTCCAGGAGTTAGGCTGGTTTCCTCAGGGACTGTTTTTGGCATTTTCCTCATCGTAGGACCTTATGGCATCACCTTGGAGACACAGCGTTAGTTCAAGGAATTGGCATGTGATTACATAGGTCAATTGGAGTCCCGTCTGGTGCTTTTCTGTAGGAGTAGCAGGGAGAGACTGTCTTTTCTGGTTGGATTGCTAGTGGTGTGTGGGCTGCCAAGTGGGCTGCCTTCCTGGCACCAAGCAGAATGTGGCACACAGAGGGAGCAGAGCCCAGAGGCTTGAACCTGATGGCACTCGAGGAATGTGGGTCCTGGAATGGCAGACATCCTCCATGCTAGGGCTATCCACTTGCATGGTGAATACATTCCATTTTTGTCTAAGCTTCAGTTTTTGTTTTGTTGTTGTTTCATATAGAATTGAGAAATACGGCCAATACCTTAGGGAAGGTGGCAAGTTAGGAACTACACTAGCAGGCTGTTATTAAAAGAATCACAGAAGCTAGGCTTCTAGTTTTTAATTTTTTGATTATTGTCTATTTTTGCTTGTTTGTGATGAGTATTTCTACACCTGCCAAGGATGCATTCAGATAAACATTTTGGATACTTCCTCTAAAATGTCTGTCCACACCACAGGATCAACTCCAGGAGATGCTGGGTTCCTGGGTGGCGCGCCGTGAGGACGCTCCAGCTGTATTGATTGTGAACCTCACTTTCAGGAGTTCAGCAATTGTGAGACAGTATCTTCAGGCATTGTAGGACTCTTTGGGGCATGCTGCTATTGAGGGTGTTCTGGATTAGGGAATAATATTCAATAATTAAGCCCTGGAGATAGAAATTCTTACTGTACCCATAATCCTTAAAGTCTTAGGGCAAATGAAGACTTTGGCTGAATGAATCTTGAGGCATCCACCTTGCCTTGGAGTTACTGACTTTATTTACAGCAACAGACACACACACACACACACGAAAATTTTATAAGCAAAATATTCTAACACTTTCTTTCTTTTACTTCTGATTCTACCATTCTGCTGTCATCTTTGCAAGCTGCAAAACATTAGGCACAGAAGAAGTTTTTTTCCTCTTTTATCTCATGGCCTTCAGCATTCTTAGACCGTAGCATGCTTTCTTTAACATTCCAACCACTTTTATTAGTTTGCTTATTCAATGTTAGAATGTAAGCTCTAAGGGGTTAGGAGTCACACTAGTCACTGTATTCTTGGATAGCCCCAGCCAAGTACCTGACAAAACAGGTGCTTGATATACAATCTGTTGAATTATATGCAATCTGTTGAATGAACTCTTAAGTTACTTGGATTTTAGTAACTGCTGGGGCAGATTCTCATTAGACAGGTGCAAAGAACAATGGGTATTTTAAAGCAATTAGATTTAACAGAACATCATTATGCAAATGTAGCTCTGGGATGTCCCACTCAGATGCCAAGCTTATAATGTTAATAAATGAAGTGTTATTTGAATTTGTGTATGTTTTGTGGGGGGAGTGGATTCTCTTGTTAATATTGGCTCTCCTTAGGTTTATGGATATTTTCGATAGAAATAACTTGAAAATTGCTGTTGAAAGATATAAATGTTTCTTTCCCAGGTATTTTAAAACTTGTTATGAATATATGACAAGCTGATGTTGGGTTGATTGTCCCAGGATTTGTTTCCTTGGCCCAGTGCTGCTGCCACCATCCCAACCACCTGGTCTGTCTGATCTTGGAGCACTGGGTGAGAAGCTGTCAAAGTCTGACTGTATTAGCAGTCCCCTCTCCCCCTAGAGGCAGAGAAGACTCCACTCTGGTATGTAATTGTGAATGCTGGGATAGAGTGGAGGAAGTTATAATATGGGGAATTTCTGTATTGGAAATAGTACTGTCTATGTATCATATACATTTGACATGAATTGTCAATGGGTTATTCAACGCATTTGAATAGTAAGGCCTCCAATTGCCATTTACGGCATGTGTGCTGAAGACACAAAATGGTGTGTTGGCAGTTAACATCATCATCTTTCCCCTTTGGTTGAAATTTAAAGTGACAAACTGTTATACTTTAAGAACCATATAGAAGATCAATTAATCATTTTAAACACATACCAAATTCCTAGAAAAAATGTGTAACTGATACTATAGGTTTTTCTATATTAAAATTATTTATGGCCATGTGGAGTGGCTCACACCTGTAATCCCAGCACTTTGGGAGACTGAAATGGGAGGATTGCTTGAGGCCAGAAGTTCAAGACCAGCCTGGGCAAGATTGGAGGATTGCTTGAGGTTGGAAGTTCAAGACCAGCCTGGGCGAGATTGCAAGATCCTGTCTCTACAAAAAATTTAAAAATTAGCTGGGTGTGTTGACGCATGCCTGTGATCCTAAGCTTTTGGAGGGCTGAAGCAGGACAATTGCCTGAGCTGGGAGGTTGAGGCTATAGTGAGCTATGAATGCACTACCGTACTCTAGCCTGGGCAACAGAGTGAGACTCTGTCCCTTAAAAAATTAATTTTAAAACCCTAATTGAAATTAGTAAATTTTTAAACACTTGTGGTGAGAATATTTGCATTTCTATCATAGGACCTCTGTGTTCCTTGTTCCTTGATTCCATTTTCTTTTCCAGCCTATTGATAACTTCCCTTCTTGTTTTTTCTGTTTCAACTTCTTGTTCTTGGCTTCTCTTCCCCTCACAGTGTCTCTCCCCTGCTTGGGTTTCTTTCTCCTCTCTCATCTTCATTTCCCACATCTTCTCTATTTGTTCTCTGCCCTTTGATTCACTCTACATTTAAATCTACAATTTGACCCTCTCTCACTGGTTTATTTTTTAATTATTTATAAATCTCAGCAGTTTGAAATAAGATAAGAGCAAGGTATGGTGCCTGATCAGTTACCCTATGGCTGCCACCTTTTTAGAACTATTGGCTTAGAAATCACCTTTGGTCACACAGAATAGATAGGGCTTTTTTGCAGGTTTATTAGGGGGCAGAAATAGTTTATTGCAGGTTATTAGGGGGGAGAAATACAATTGTTCCATGCACAGTATAGGTAGGTAGGTTTCTATTCTTGATCAATTAAGAATAACCAGTGAATTTTCCAAGATGGTTATTTAAAGTTCTGTACTAACAATAGATACTGAAAGTAAGTTGTATGCACAACCTGGCAATTTTAAAAAATCTCTTTTAAGTATTATATATCTATCTTGGAGCAGATTAAATTTTCAGTGGCAGTCCTCATTTTCTCCACATTGAGTTATGTCTTGGTACCACACTTTATTGCAAAACTCTCAGACCTAAAGGATTTAAAGTTTATTGTGATTTTAAAGCAGGATAGAAAAGAAAGGAAAGAAAAATAATTTTTCTGAGTGAAGGGACCTAGTTCTTGTAATAGTATTTTGATCTGAGGACTGTGCTGTGATAAATAACTCGTACCATAGAATCTGCATGAAATTAACCAAGGGGGAACCCTATATATCCCTGAGGCATTAGGTGGCTGATTATGACAGTGTGTAATCTGTTTTCACGTAGTACAATACACAGATGCACATGTGAGCTGAGTGTAAATGCAGACTTCTCTCACCTTTTGAAAGACTGTCTTTTTGAAGACTTTTTTTGGAGAGGATTTCTCTAACACCTGTTTGAATCTTCTCTTTTTGTTATTGTGGTAACCTTATTTGAGTAGGATTTTGGTGATTGTGTTTGATCATAAATATATGGCAGCAGAAAATTTTTATAGCACCAAATTAATAATTATTCTTGGATTTACTATATCTAAAGGAATGCCAAGGTTTTCATATGTTTTTCCTTTATCTTTACAAGCTTCATTAAAATATTTAAGTTTAAAATATTTTTAAAGCATACTTACTTTTTTCAAACCTCTGAAGGAATGTACAAGATTTAAAATTAACTTTGATAAATTAATTTGCATTTAGTAACCCAGCATTTTGCAATGTGAAATAATATTGAAAATGGAAAACAATATTTATTGATAATTAAATGAATATACAACCAGATTTCTTTCTAAAAGACATTTTCATGTACCATGTAAAAGGTACTTTTTGGAATTATTTATACTTGTATGGTTTTCCATGCATGTGTTATTAGTCTTCTGAGAAAAACTTGGATAATTTTAGTATAATAAACATTTATATCTCATTTCAGTGTAGTTCAGTCACTTAAAAAATATCCATTTAATTTTATTTCGGGACAATTGTAGATTCGCATGCAGTTATAAGAAATAACACAGAGAGATCCTCTTCCCCCTTCATCAGTTTCCCCTTATGGTGGCATCTTGTTAACTGTGAAGCAGTGTCACATTCAGGATATTGACCTTCATATAGTCAAGAAACAACATTTTCATCGCCACAAGGATCTCTCATGTTGCCCTTCTATAGCCACACCCACCTCTCCTACCTCCTTCCACATTGCTCGGCAACCACGAATCTGTTCTTCATTTCTATAAATTTGTCATTTAAAAAATGTTATAGAAATGCAGTTATACTTTGGATATTGCTTTTTTTTTACTTGGCATAGTTCTGTGGCAATTCATCTAGATTGTTGTGTATATCAATAGTTCATTCCTTTTTATTAAGTAGTGTTCCATGGAAACTGCGTACCACAGATTGTTTAACCATTCACCTGTTAAAAACATCTGGGTTGTTTCTATGTTTTGATTGTTACAGATAAAGTTGTTATAAATATTTGTCTATAGATTTTATTGTGTATCCATTATTTTCTGTGATAAGTAACCAGGAATGCAGTTGTTGGGTCATATGTTAATTGTATGTTTATTGTTTAAGATAGTGGTCCCCAACCTTTTTGGCACCAGGGACCGGTTTCTTGGAAGACAGTTTTTCCATGGACCAGGGGTGGGAGGTGGTGTGGATGGTTTCAGGTTGAAACTTCCACCTCACGTCATCAGGCATTAGATTTTCATAAGAAGCACGCGCAACCTGGATCCCTCACCGGTGCAGTTCATAATAGGGTTTGTGCTCCTGTGAGTATCTAATGTTGCTGCTGATTTGACAGGAGGAGCTCAGCAGGTAATGCTCCCTCCTTCACCGCTCACCTCCTGCTGTGCAGCCTGGTTCCTAACAGGCCAGGGACTGGTACCAGTGGTGGCTTGGGGATTGGGGAACCCTGGTTTAAGAAATGTTTTTGTTGAAGTGGTATACTATTTCACATTGTCACCAGAAATGTGTGAATGATCAGTATTTGGTGTTCCCATTATCTTTTCATTTTTGCCATTCTGAGAAGTATGTAGTGATACCTTATTTTGGTTTTAATTTACGTTCCCCTAATGTTGACCATTTTTTCCATGTGCTTATTTGTCATCTGTATATCCTCTTCAGTGAAAGTTTCTTTATGTCTTTTACCCATTTTCTAACTGGATCATTTTTCACTGTTGAATTTTAGGAGTTTTCTATATATTTTAGGTACTAGCCATGTGTTGAACATTTGACTTACAAATATATTCTCTGTAGACTGTATTTCCATTCTTTTAAGAAGGTCTTTTGCATAGAAAAAGTTTTTAATTTTGATGAAGTCAAATTGATCAATTTTTTCTTTTAGGGATCATGCTTTTGCTGTCAAGGCTAAGAATTCTGCCTAGCCCTGGGTCCTGAAAATTTTCTCGTGTATTAATTTTTTTTGAAAAGTTCTGTAGTTTTGTGTTTCATGTTAAAGTTCATGATGCATTTTGAGTTAACTTTGTATATGGTTGAGGTTCTTTTTTTCCCTTTAAACCAATGGATATTCAGTTGCTTCTGCACCATTTGTTGAAAAGCCTATTTTTCCTCTGTTGAATTTTTTTTTGCACCTCTCTCAAAAATCACTTGGATATATTTGTTCATCTATTTTTGCATTTTCTATTCTATTTTACTAATCCGTGTACCTGTCCCCCAGCTGGTATCACAGTGTCTTGATTATTATAGGCATATAATAAATTTTGAAATCAGGTAGGCTGCTGATTTCCCATTTATCTTCTTTTTCAAAATTGTTTTAGTTATTCTAGTTCCTTTGTCTTTTCAGATAAATTTTAGCATACACTTTTTTATGTGTACAAAAAAATCTTGCTGAGATTTTGATAGGAATTGCTTCAAGTCTTTAATTTTGGAAGAATTGACATCTTTATTGTGTTGGATCTTCCAATCTATGAATATGGTGTGTCTCACTATTTGTTTACATCATTGATTTCTTTCATCAGCATTTTTAGTTTTCAGCATATGAGTCCTGTACGTGTTATTACAGGACTCGTATGCTGTAAAGTTCTTAAGTCCTGTACATACTTAAGAACTTAATTTTTGGGGGGGCAATGGTAAGTAGTATTTTGTTTTAAATTTTGGTGTCCTCGTGTTCATTGCTAGCATATAGGAGTTTTTATCTTATATCCTGTGACCTTGCTAATATGAGGCCACAACTTCTGCAGGGTAATTAATGCAAAGTCATTGCACATGAAGAGGGCAAAACAAAAAAGTAAATTGGAGTGTCACATGTAGGAGTAGATTGTTTGCTAGAAAATGGTGGTAGAGGACATGTCTCTCAATTGTATTAATTTTCAATTTGGGTAAGTCACTTTTCATCTTGTGCTTTTGTAAGACCTGGAACCCCTTCTCCAAGAATCTCTGGCGCCTTTTAGGGGAGGTGATAATTTGAAAGCCAAGATTTGGGTACCATTGCAACAGGAGACCATTGTTTCAGAATTCTTTCAGTGGTCAGAATTAAGAAATAAAAATAATTGAGTTGGGATCAATGTTTTCAAGTCAAATTTAGCAGAAGAGAAGTTCTTCCCTTTATTTCATTTTATATTTCTATTTTCCCTTACACTGAAAATAGTAATTTCTTAATGACATCAACTTAGTTACTTATTTGCTTTATCTTACAATACACATAAAATGTTTTAAAATTACAGTATTAATATTAAAACTATTGAATAAAGTTTAAGATTTCTTTGCAGGGCATAATCCTTTCAGTAATACTACTGAGCATGTAGAGACAGAACACTGAGTTTAGAAGTTTTTTCTGTGTAGATGTTTTACCAATTTGATGTGAATAGTGCTTTATTTCTTTTTCTCTAATTCTGAGTTTTCAATTTCTGGTTTAATTCTTTCTATATAAATAGGTTTGAAGTTAAAATTAAATAAAAAGTTATACATGGAGAAACTTTCTCTATTTTCAGTCTTCCCAGTATCCCCCGATAGGTAACCATTTTTATTAAATTTTGTTGTAATAGTAAGAAAGTACTTGCTTTTTCTTCCTTCTCATATACAGTGTAGTAGTCTATGTTGTTTGTTCTCCCCCTTTCTTTTTTTTTTATTTCATAATGTATTTTGGAGATTACTCCATAATAGTACATAGAGATCTTCCTCACTCCTTTTTACAGCTGCATTAAGTACTGGGTAATTTTGCCATGTGTACTTTTTTTAGATCCTGCAAAATTCTCCTTTATGGGGATTTTATTTTGTACTTTGATCAACAGTATTTGCGACTTTCAGTTTTCTTCTGAGCCTTGTCATGAGAGTAGATTTTTGCTAGATAGGTGAGAAGTGCTATCTCAGCGTAGTTTTTATGTACGTTTTTTGAGGATAGTTGAACATTTTTAAAAACATTTAAAGACTTTTGCCTTTTTGTCTACTATTGGTTCATGTCTTTTGACTATTTGTATATTGGGTTTTTGATAATTACTATTTTATTTCTAAAGAGGAATGCAAATAATCTCTTTGGAAAATAATATGTGAATGTTACTTCTCAGTTTGTCATTGGTCTTTTGACTTTCCCTATGACTTTTTTTTTTTTTTTTTTTTGCCCTGAATGAGTTTTAAAGAATGTATCTTTTTTATATGTGTAATTTGTCATAGTTGTAATTTCTGTGATCTGAATCTTTAGGTACATATTCCACAATGGGTAGAATAGAAAGCTTAAGAATTACTTTTGTCTAGGAAATACAACAGGATAGAATAGAAAATAGAAAAGTTAGGCATTACTTTTTATGTTTGCATTCTCTCGCTGCTCACTTTTTTTGACTAGATTTCAAGCCAACTGTCACAAACAGGGCATCATTCCAGGTCCTATTTTGGTTTCTTTTCTCACTCAATACTAGAAAACCACAGAGTGCCATTCCTGGTATTTCATATATCTCGTACTTGTCATTTGTAAAACAAGTGTCTAGTGATGTTAATTCTTTCTGTAGAATTGCATTTACGTCCTTTTCACTTTTCTGTATTTGTGATTAGTTTCCATAGTCTATGGACAGATTTACTCTGGGGGCTATAGTTTGCTGAGTTGGAGTCTAGACCACTTATGACTTAACTCTTCAGCCTTTTTAACTGTCTGCTTCCTTACTGTTGGTTTGAGTTAGTCAAATCCCAGTCGCCTTAACTATAAAATCGGCTAGTAGAGCCATGTACCTCCAGGGAATTCAGTGTATTGATTAAATGATGATTAGGTCTTACTTATTTTTTCATATAAGCTATTATAACAAACTTGCAGTTCAAAATGAATATATAGGAAAATGTTTTCTTTAGAAATGCAGAATAACCAGAATATCCTTAAATTTCCACTTATTGCATGTCAATGCTGCTTGACTCTATTCCCTGTAAGGATGAACATTGGAGAAAGACTGAAAAAGTGGTGCTTTCACATCATCAGATCTCTTATTGCAGAAGTTATAATTTTAAGAGAAAACAATCTAAAATAAGGAGTTCTGTCATATTTTTGTAAGTATATTATAGTCTTCCAACCAAAATTAGTAATAATGGCATCTGTAAATAACAAAATCTCAAACTAAGGTATGTAACATTGAGTTAAATATTGTCCAGTTATGTAAGTCATGATAATTTTTAGGTGTTACAAAGAGAAGAAAGTGTTCTCAAGCTTTTCCTTTCCTAGAAAACAGAATCTGCTGGGTACCTGCTATTGACATCAAAGGTACTTGCTCTCCTGTGAGGGTGCTGTTAAAATGAACACTTAAAAATCACCTTTTATCTATCATACTTTGTGGAAAACATTTTTATCTAAGGGATTTCAAATCCCATACCTCTTACTATGGTATTTCCATCCAATTTTCATGGTTTTGAAGAAGAGCAGTCAGCATGGAGTAGGGGGATTGAGTGAAAATGATAATTTTAGAATTAAAATCAGCATGGAAGGGTTTAGATCATGGGATGGTGGGATTAAAGGGGTAACCAGAGAGGACAGTAACAGAGGAGACCCACTGGAAACACTCTAGGACTTTGAGAGCCTGTCGGGTGAGTGCCCTATGGACCTTTATGTGCCCATTTGTCATTTTCACTTACAGAAGTGAGAAGCATCAGGATACTGCCTGGTGCCGCCTCTGTCTTCCCATTCTATTCCAAACCTCCTGGAGTGGTGGGAGAGCTGAATGAGATAACACAAAGCACTTAGAACTGTGCGTGACACATATTAGGAACTGAAGAAGAGTCAGCTATTACACATAACATTTGGTTGGTATTAAAGAATATACATTGCTTTCTGTATACTCTATTAATAAAAGAGCAAGGAATGTTGTATAATTCTGTGAAATTGTGTAGTCCCAGATTTGAATATGTTTTTGCACTGTGCTTCTTCCTGCTGCCTCAATAGTGTCAGTAATCAAGTAAATTTTTTTTTTTTTTTTTTTTTTTTTTTGTGGTTGAGACAGTCTTGCCCAGGCTGGAGTGCAGGGTTGTGATCTTGGCTCACTGCAACCTCTGCCTCTAGGCTCAAGCAATTCTTGTGCCTCAGTTTCCTGAGTAGCTAGGATTACAGACCTCGGCCACCATGCTGGGCTGATTTTTTGTATTTTTAGTAGAGGCGGGTTTTACCATGTTTGCCAGGCTGGTTTCGAACTCCTGGCTTTAAGCAATCCATCCACCTTGGCCTCCCAAAGTACTGGGATTATAGGTGTGAGCCACTGCACCCTGCCAATAGTTTAAATTCTTACTGAAACAGTCATGCTTGTGTAGGTACTGTCTATGGTCAGTTTTGCTCTACAATGACAGAACTGTGTAGATGTGGCAGAGATTATACAGCCTGCAAGAGAAAATACTTAGTATCTGGCCTGTTATAGGGCAAGCTTGCCAACTCTTATATACAGGGTGTTCTGGTCCAGGGAAAAAGTACCCAATTATAGAGCAGCTTCCTGAAATCAACATTCTTTCTTTTACGTCTCCTACCGAAGAATAGAATGTTGTATAAAAGAGGTTAGCACAGAATGTTTCCTCAGGTTTTCATTTATGTTGCTACTGAAGAGTTGACTTTAAAGAATTATTATAAAGTAATAAAATGTTACCATTTGCAACAAGCTATGAAAATTAATTCGAAGGTTTGAAGTTTTCTTAATGAAAAACTAAACCATTAAACGTGTGGTAGATTTCTTTTCACTTATTAAGAGTAAATACTTATGCAAATTTATGGCATGCAGTATTTTACTTTCTTAAGTAAGTGAGTCTTTCAGGGTGGCACCAAGCCACTGTTGGCTTACAACACCGACTGGGAGCACAGCACCCTAGGCACAGGCAGCCTGTGAGTATCTGTGGCAGTCCATTCCTTACTATCAAGGGAAAAGGACTTCTAAAATCAATATTGGATTTAACATATATCATTACTTATTTGACTCACTTGGATTCAGAGCCATAATAAATAGTATGAACATTGGCCTAAGATAAAGTTTGCATTTAGACCTGATTTTGAATGGAAAGATGTATATGACTTGAGGGAGTTTGGTTTTGATAGTGTGGTTGTTAATGTCTCAGAACTAAATCGGCTTCATGAATACGTGGGTTTTCAGTATCAGTCTCCTTACTGGCAGGGGAATGTCAGACAAGTGGTGTTTTTCAGATGGGGGAGCAGATGGCTCTTTCTCTTCAGTACAGCGTGTGCCAACCAAAAGAGACAGTTACACAAATGTTAACCCCTGAGGGACAGAGAAAACGATTGCAGTCAGTTGTTCTTTATAAGTCTGTATCTTGACTTCACAATGATGTGAAAAAGTAATTTCTTCTTTTAAGAAAAGCAGCATTAAATGCACAGGAGCGGCCTATACTTTGAGTCCGTCTAAAATGGTAGAAGATGATGTAATCACTTAAAAAGGAAATAGACTGTTTGACATTTCTGGAGTAACATGGTGTTGGACTCCTTGGGCCTGATATACCGCTTCTGAATTCTCGTTAAAATGTCCAGCAATTGTGCTATAAAGCAAATTGCCATATGCCAAGATTTGGGCAGAATGTTCTTCAATATGGCTGGTGAAACAGATTGAGAATGGTCTTGGACTATATAGCACACATTCTATTCTCTGAACTAGAACAAGACAAATGCCCAACACTAGGTAGGACATGTTTTAAAATCCATTTACACAGTGTGTATAGCTTTGGGAAGCCTTGGGTCATGCTGAATAGTACAAGTTTGTCATTCCCAGTCTGTGGAGCCAGTCATACCTGGGTCCCTCAACTGATCCTCCTCTGTCTCCACTAGCAACTTTCTCTCCACTTTCACTTAAAAACCCAAACTCCCAACATGCAGCCCTACAGCAGGAGTCAGAGGGAGGTGCTAAGGGTGCTGTACACCCCTGGCTGCAATCGCTTAAAGTGTTCAAAACAGGAAGAGCCTTGCATCCCCGTGTTTCATGTACAACATACGATACATGTGACATGCCTGAGTCTCAGCAGGAGGCATTATCCTTTCTCCACATGCATTGAAAGGAATATATGTCACACATTACCAGCCAGGCTCAGAGGAGACCATATCTCATTTACAAGTTCAAATATGAAAGGGAGAAACATGGTAGCATTTAGTGGCTATTGAGATAACCTAAGGATGTGTTTTACCCGTCTGTGCAGGAGCATTATATCTAGCTGGGGCTCTCCTTGTCAAAGACGCTGAACATGTGGCTTAGGAAAAAAAATTCCAGAATGCAGAGGAAGGACAGAATGACTTTGAGGACAGCGTATCTCACTGAAAATGGTTACGTGTGAAACACAGGCAACAAATTTAGGATAAATCTGGTATCTTAAAAAATCATGACTTTGGGAAAAGAAACCAGAGGGCCCTAAGGGGGAAAAGACTGAGATGAAAACAGAAATGTACAAACAAAAAAGCTGACTGAAGTAAAAGAATGGGAGGAAACCAAAATTGCAGTAAGACTTAAAATCCCTACTAAGATAATCAGAAGACTTGATCTCCAAAAATGAAAGAGGAATATGGATGACAAACTTGGACACTCTCAGGATGCAGAGGAGAAAAAGATAAAGATAGGTAAATATGAAAGGTAGACGTGGAGGACAGATAATGGATTCTTCGCCCTGGAGGAGCTCCTGAGCGGGAAACCGAAGTCATCAGGGAAATCACAGTTAAACTTACTGCACTGCAGAAGAGTGTGAGTAAATAGCATAAGAAGCCCTGACACTCAGCCAAAATTAACAAACAGAGGTTTCTGCTTAGGCCTATCCTGGCAAAGGATTTGAATTTTCAGGATAAAACAAACCCAAGGGATAGAGCAGGTTGTGAAGAAACAGGTTAGGTTTGTCTCAGGTATCCTGTCTGTTAAATGCCAGGAATCTGTAAGGCTGTGGTTCGGTAACTATCATACAGTTTAGCGACTGAATTCAGATGTGAAACAACAGCACTTATGTTCCATTCATCCCTTAAAAAGCTACGTAAATATGCATTTCATCCACGGAGGAGACCACTCTTAGATTTTAGGTTATGTCTCAGACTTCAAAGGGAGAGGCTGGAACAGCACAAAGTCTTACAGCTTCCTGACCTTTTGGGAGGTTGGGATATATTTATATGTGTCCTGACTGGTGGTTAGCAGTAAAGGCTCCCAAGCTAGTCCAACACAATTTGTCAGGAAGTTGGGTCATCCAACAGAAAATGTAGCCCATGTTACAGTTAAAGAATTAAAAATCCAGGGCTAGGCAAATGATTTCTTTGATACGAAAAGCACAGACAATAAAAGGAAAACAATACATTGAACTTAAAATGGAAAACTTTTGTGCTTCAGAACATGCCCTATTGCCTTTTACCCTTTTATAACGAGGAGGGAGCCAATGTGAGGACAAATTGAATATCTGAGGAGGGCAGAGCAGAGAGAGGAGAAGACCCTGAGTTTTTGAGAACATCACTGGGCCCCCAAAATGAAGAACTCTCTTACTTGCCGTACCTCTGGGTTTATTGTTATGTGAGATGGTCAGTTCTCTGTTGT